ATCTGAAAATCAGGGTAAAAGAAAATTAAATTTTTATTGCAATCCTGTTATTGTAAACTATATTCTAAATAAAATTTTAATGTTTTTTTTTTAAAAACAAAGAGTATATTTTTTTAACTACAAATAAAAAAAATTAATTTCCGCCGTGCAATTAGAATTTAATTACTCTCTTAGCCATCGCAGGAAAGGACATAAATTCAACTCAAAGCTTGCGGCAACAAAAGACAATTGTGTAACCTATACTGACTTATACCATTCCTAAAGAGACATTTCTCGGCGGGGGGTTTTTCTCTTTTTTCTAAAAGGGGGTAGAAATTAATTTCAATAAATCCTTTATATAAACCTACCGAAATATTGTGTGCAAGGGCTATATATATATATACAGGTAATATACCGTTTCGCTTCATCACTCTCCCGTTTTTGTAGGGTTCTTTGATAATTCCAGTAAAAAACTGGAATGTGGGAAAAAGCGTTTGCAACCCGTTAGAATAGCGAAAGGGTTAAGGTTCTAAAATAGGTCAGATTAGAGGCTCTTTACCGTTTTTTTTTCTCCTTTTTCTCTTAAAGAACCCTTTAGCTTCCAATTCCACCAAAGTATCGCGTTTCTCCAATCGAAAATTTTTGTGAAAGGTACGGCTAATAAAAAAAAAGAGGGAGATATCAATTTTTTAGGGATTAATCGTACAAAATACATTTCCGGGGTAGATTTGTGTCAAAGATATTGGAGAATATTGGAGAATAAATTGGATTTTGTCGGATTTAATGCTGTTTTAGTATTTTTTTCTCTTTCCTTATTTTTTTAAAAGAAGAAAAAAAAGGGTTTCTTCTCATCGTGGGATTGTGCGTATTATATGGAGAAACAGCTATTAAGGATGGTGTCAAAAATCACGAAAGAAGGCAACCCTTAAATAACTCGGGAAGACCACCGGCCGCAGGGGAGAATTTAAAAAATGTGATATTTTCGTTTCCAGGTACGAGAAGTGCGCGTCGAATGAGAATTCAACCCTTCGGCGAGAGAAAATAATAATAAGAGAGAGAAAAAGACCTGTAGACAGAGGAATATAAATTTCAATGCTCTGCGCAATAATGCAAAACGCTGCGGGTATTAAAAATAGAAATTTATGTGTAACTATCAAAATGATGTAGTCTTAGAATATGTTTCTCCGCGATTTTAATTTGTAAGACAAATTATTATATCATCCAAATCTAATTTTTAAGCGCAAGGGAAGGGTGGATGATGGTAATTAATATTTTTAACTGACTTTCAATTTAAATACAGTTTTTAATTCTTAGAATTCATATGAATTCTGATAATTTATACTGTTGTGCAAAATCACAATTTTTCACAACAGTATAAATTATCAGAATTTTTTTCTTTTTTTTTTGGTTCAATTTTGGTTTAAATTTAACACGAAAATTACTAGACAGAAACTATACAGAACCATTTTATATCCTGGGCACCTTTTTTATACCCTAGTATATATTCTTAAATTAGGAATATTTTTTTCAGTGTATTACTAATGAATTTTTGACTTTTTGCTTCTAAATCAGTTATTTTTAATTGATTCAAATTTAGATAGTAAAGTATAGTAGGGAATCATAGACATCAGGGTTGGACCACCGTCTAAATTTGAATTAGTAAATTTAATTAATAAATAGCAATTTTTACTACTTTATTAGTAAAATTTATTTTTTTTTACTACACTGAAAAAAAAATATTCTTAATTTAAGAATATATTCTATAAAAAAGGAGCCCAGGATATTCCCCACTTAAATTAAGTGGAAATATTCTTACAATGAGAATATATTCTTATACATAGGATTGCAACAAATATTTAATTTTATTTTTCCTTGACTTTTCCCTGACTTCCAGACAAAATTCTCACTTTTTCCCTGACCCTAAAAAATATTCTGATTCACTCTAAAAATTATTAGAAACTCAAAAAAATGTTTTTATTACATTTATTTACAAATTTCATTAATTGTAAAATTATTCTCAAACATAAATAATTTCTTTTTTATATAAATATTTAATCATTATAATTATTCCATAGGAATTAAGATTCTTAAAAAATTTCAAATTCAAATCTTTATGAAATTCAACAATTTATAAGAATATTATTACAAAACATAAAGAAGGCGATGAATGAAATTTTTCAAAAAAAAATTTTATTATTTACAAAAATCCTAATAAAATCTTTCGCAAGAATTAATTATTTTTAAAAGTAGTAAATTTTCTCAAAAAAATTCAATTATTTGAAAAAATTATAATCAAATTCATTGCAATAATTATCAATTATTTTCGTAAATAATAAATCGATTATTCGGTACCTTCATTTTTGAATCAATTTTTATTATAAAATTCTAGAAGAATTCAATTTCTTTAAATTAAAAAATAAATAATTTATTGAATAATTGAATGTTTGTTAAAATTGAATTCTCATAAAGAATTTTATCAACAAATTTTTCAATAATTCAATTATTTTGACAAATTTTAATGAAATTTTTAAGAATAATTACATTTCTCGAGGAATTTCATTAAAATATTGTATCAAAAATTAATTAAAATCTTGCGATGCGAGTTTTAATATTTATGAAAATAGTTAAAAATTTTCTCCAAAAATGTTATTAAAATTTTTCTAAAATAATTGAATTTCGGTGAAGAATTTTATTTTATTTATAAAAATAATTGAATTCTTGAAAAGAACTTTGTTAAATTTTTTTTAAATAATTGAATTATTGAGACGAATTTAAAAAAAATCTTTTTAAATAATTGATATTTTTCGAAAAATTTCATGAAATTTTGTATATTAAATAATTGAACTCATGTGAAAATTTTATTATTTATGAAAATAATTGAATTATTGCAAAGAAATTTATTAAATATTTCATAAATTATTGAATTCCTATGAATTTTTAACAAGAATATTCAAGTTTTTAAAAATAATTGAATTTTGAAGAAGAATTTTATTAATTATAACAATAATTGAAATTCTAACGAGAATTTTTAAAATAATTGAATTTCTGCGAAGAATTTTATTATTTATAAAGATAATTGAAAGTTTGACAAGAATTTTTTTTTTTAATTTTTCAACATAATTGAATTTCTGCGAAAAATTTTATTACTTTTGAAAATAATTTAATTCTTCCAACAAATTTTATTCAAGTTTATAAAAATTAATTGAATTTCGGTGAAGAATTTTATTATTTCTAAAAATAATTGAATTTGAATTTATTGCAAAAAAAAATTTCATATTTATCGAGATAATTGAATTTTTCCGCATGAATTTTAATATAACTTTTAAGAATAATTATATATTTTTCCAGAAATAATTGAAATTCTGCAAAATTTTATTTAAATTTTTGAAAATAATTGAATTTTGAAGAAGAATTTTGCTATTTATAGAAATAATTGAAATTTTGTCGAGAAAGTTTTAAATTTTTGAATCTAATTGAATTTCTGCGAAGAATTTTATTATTTTTTAATGAAAAATTGAAAATAATTGAATTCCTCAAAAGAATTTTTTTATTTGTCATAATAATTGAATCTCTGTAAAATAGTTTATTATTTATGAAAATAATTGATTTATTTCGAAGAAATTTTTAAAAAATTTTGTAAATTATTCAATTCCTGTGAAATTTTACCAAGAATTTTATTCAAGTTTTTAAAAATAATTGAATTTTAAAGAAGAATTGTATAATATATTATATTTATAAAGATAATTGAAATTTTGACGAGAATTTAAAAAAATTTTTTGAACATAATTGAATTTTGGAAAAGAATTTTATTATTTTTAAAGATATAATTGAAATGACTATAGAATTTTTTTTTAATTTTACTAAATATAATTGAATTTCTGCGAAAAAATTTTATTACTTTTGAATAAAAATTGAATTTCTGGAATAATTTCTAATTTTTCCAAAATTCAATTTTTGTTTTTTAGTATTTTTAACTAAAATTCTTTGATCAATCTAGTATTTATATGAAAATTGTAAAAATGATTCATGAAATAATTTTTAATTCATAATTTTATGATAGTTAAGTTACCAAAACCGGATTCTCGCAATATATAATAATAAACACGTCACACCCCAAGTTTACATCAAATCCCATCTGCCGCGTCACAAAATTCAAATGAGCAATCTTTCCCGCCAAAATAAAAAATGGAATTTACTGCACGAACACTTGCGCCCTATCTTAAAATTCAAATCTACATGCATTCCAATCATCAAAGAGAGAAAGAGAGAGAGAGAGAGAGAGAGAGAGAGAGAGAGAGGAGCATCCTTTCAATATTATTGCCCACGAGGAAAAAAAATGGGAGTGGTCAACTCTGTTTAAAAAAGGGGTAGAGAGAACTACGCTTGTACAGTGGGCAGAAATAAGCCACCCCCGTTTTCAATTCTCAGTGGACGTGTAATTCTCATTCTTGTTAGGGTGACTATAGTCGCCCCCTCCCCCTTTGTATCAATACACACCGACCCCATTTTTATTGGAGAGAGGAAAAAAAAATTCACAACCATCGAAGCACGTGGATCTCATAGTAAAATCTCTCTCTCTCTCTCTCTCTTGTTTTCTTTCTCTCTCTTTCTTGTCTTCTTTCTCTCTCTTTTTTGTTTTCTTTCTCTCTCTTTCTTGTTTTCCTTCTCTCTCTTTCTTGTTTTCCTTCTCTCTCTTTCTTGTTTTTTTTCTCTCTCTTTCTTGTTTTCTTTTTCGTTCTTTAGTTTTCTGTTTCGTTCTCTAGTTTTCTGTTAGGTTCTCTAGTTTTCTGTTTCGCTCTATTTTTTCTGTTTCGCTTTTTTTTCTGTTTCGTTCTCTCTTATTTTTATTTTTCGTTCTCTCTCTCTCTTTCTTATTTTCTTTTTCGTTCTCTCTCGACGACTGTTTCGGTCTCTTGTATTTTACAAAAAGGGGGTAAAAACAACCAAGGCGGTGCTCCAACCTCGCCAATAACAGTACGAGACGGATTCATCTTCCAAATGAGAGCGAGTGAGATGATGAGAAAAGGGTGGGAGCAAGATAGAAGAGAAAGAGCCAAGTTCCTCAAAAGGGGGCGGAGCGGGGATACCCTGTTAAATCCCCCAATTGAATTGTGGTGGGGTGACCGCGGGAGGGGTGCCCCATTCAGAGTGGGGGAATAAAACCCTCCCTCTCGAAAATCCTGTAATCATCGATGGAGGGGAATATTTCCAGTCATCTCGCGCCACTCGAGCCACGCGCACTTGCTTTATTGCGCGAGTTGCCAAAACGCGTGTGCTCTCTTCAATGAAAAATCACACACACTTTTAGTGTAAATTTGCAATTGTTTTACATCAATTTTTTTCCGAAAAATTTCCGACAAGATGAGATCTCTTTAAGGAGATGAAATTGAGACAAAAAAAAGAATCAAAAGTGTTGCCTCAAGGCAACACTTTTGATTCTTTTTTTTGTCTCAATTTTATGTCCTTAAAAAACTGTGGCTACTGAATATTATTATTATTCAATTTTTTGATATTAAATACTGGTTAAAAACTTAAACAAACAATTCAGGTTCCGAACATTTCACACTTTTCTCAAAAGTATCAAATTGATACTAAACTACCAATTTGATACCAAAATGTGGATCAAATAAAAAAGTGATCTAAATTTTAGTATTTGATAAACTTTAGTATTTGACATTTTTGGGAAAAGAGTGAACCATTCGGAACCTAGATTGTTTATAATTCAGTTTTGAAGTATTCGAATTCAGTTTTTTGACCCAAAAATTTAGATCACTTTTTTTATTTGGTCCACGTTTTGGTGCCCCAAATTGATACACTAGTATCAATTTAGTTATTAGAGAAAACAAACTTTTCTCAAAAGTATCAATGTCATTAAATTCTGTTAACCTTTAGAGGACCGGGCTGGGCGCTATAGTGCCCAGCAGTTATTTTAACGAATCTTTTTATCGAATCGACTTCTTATTTACAGATTTTTTTTAATAGAAAACTAATAAACTACATTTACATTTTTAACTAGTAAAATTTATGCAAATTTACCGGCCCTCCAAAGGTTAAAAATTTAAAATACAAAATTACATTAGACTAACTTTCGTTCAGATTTCTTTCATAAAAAAACGTATTTCTTATCATGTAGCAAACTTTCTAGTAAATTGCAACAAAAATCAAAAATGTGCAACAAATAAAAAATTAACCCAAAGTTCCAAACTGTTAGGGTATCAAAATTTGATCCACCTTTGCTTAAATTTGATACTTTCAGGAAAACTGAATTAAAAAAAAGGAAAGAATTATATGTTGTCAAAGGCAGTCCGGACCCCCCACTCCTTTTACCCCCACTCGAATTTTGGTACCCTCCTCCTCTCCCCACCCACGCCCCTTAAGTGCCGCCGTCCCACTCGCGATCTCTTGGCTACCAAAGTGCCCGTGAATCGTCACCCCCTCGATCACGCGCAAGTTGCGCCGCCGGGACAATTCGGCTTTCGTCGCTCGTCCATCGAGGTGAGAGTCGTCGTTGTGCTTGTCGAAATTTCACTTCGGAAGTCGAATTGAGAATTGCTTTACCGGTACCGGATAACGCGAATCACTTCCGGTCAAGGAAGTCGGATTAATCAAAAAAAAATTATAATATATGTACGTGTGTGATTTTTCAAAAAAAGAAAAATATTTTCAGGCTGTGAGTTTTTAAGATCTCAGTTTCCGGTTTTGTGGAAAACTTGATGGACCCCCAAAACCCCCTCAATTGGAAAAGTGTTAATTTTTCGAACCTATTTTGTGCTCTTAAAAGAAAAGAGGTGAAATTTTTATTGGTGAAACAGCAGTTTTTTTTAAAAAAGAAAAAAAGTTGAATAATTCAAGTTTTGATCAAGATTGATTGAATTGAAATAACAAGAGAGATTTAGCGTGAAAAGGTGGTGAAGTAAAAAAAAAAGTGAATTTTTCAAAGGAAGAAACTATGGTGCAGTGCTACTACCACGTGGAAGAAACCGGGATTCCCGCGAGGTACGTGATTATTCCCGTGTGGTTGATAGTAGTTTAATTTCTTTTTGAAACTTTTTTTTTGAATTAATTTTACCTTGAGTTGGTGCGAAAAAGATGTGTCGCGCGCTTTACGATTTAAAAGTTTACTTTCTGAGAAATGACAAGTTTCCTTAAAGCAAGCATACAAGATTTCTGATTTCATCAACATTGATGTATACTTTCATCGCGAGAGTTGGCTCAGTTTCGAGGAATTATTGGATATACGCGCAGAGTCCTTAGAAACGATATTTTTTTTTTGAGAATAGTGATTGCCCTGATTAATTTATAACTTCATTGAAGACATGAGGGAGATAAAAAGTTCTCTTCACTTTTTTTTCTTTCAACTTTGTTGTACCCAGTGGAAAACTTTGCCCTTACACTGGAAAAAGTTTTTATTTGGTTCAAATAACCGATTAGTTTTCTATTATCAAATAAAAGTTTTCTTGAATCAAATAAATATTTTAGGAGTCTAAATATTTACTTGAATCAAATAAATGTTTACTTGAATCAAATAAATTTTTTACTTGAATCAAATAAATTTTTTACTTGAATCAAATGAATATTTCGGAAGTCCAAATATTTACTTGAATCAAATAAATGTTTACTTGAATCAAATGAATATTTCGGAAGTCTAAATATTTACTTGAGTCAAATAAATATCTACCTGAGTCAAATATATGTTTATTCGAATCAAATGAATATTTTGGAAGACTAAAATATTTACTTGAATCAAATAAATATTTCCAAAGTTTAAATATTTACTTTAATCAAATAAATATTTCCAAAATTTAAATATTTACTTTAATCAAATAAATATCTACTTGAATCAAATAAATATTTCGGAAGTCTAAATATTTACTTGAATCAAGTAAATAATTCGGAAGTCTTAATATTTACTTGAGTCAAATAATTATTTCCCAAGTTTAAATATTTACTTTAATTAAATAAATATCTACTTGAGTCAAATAAATATTTACTGGAATCAAATAAATATTTCGGAAGGCCAAATATTTACTTGAATCAAATAAATATTTCGGAAGTCTAAATATTTAATTGAATCAAATAATTACTTCGAAAGTCTTAATATTTACTTGAGTCAAATAAATATTCACTTGAATCAAACAAAAATTTCCAAAGTCTAAATATTTACTTGAGTCAAATAAATTTCACTTGAATCAAAAATTTCAGTTTTTGAAGAAAATACGCAATTGAATTGAGTAAAAAATTATTTGATTCAAGTAAATATTTATTTGATAGAAGACAATCGGTTATTTGAATCAAATAACCTTTTTTCTTAGTGTAACCGAAAAGGAAATGAAACTAGACAATAACTCGATTAAATTTTTCTTTTATAATAATAAAAATTAGAGGCAGAAATGGTTGAGAACGATTGTCCAAAGAACTTTTAAATTAGAAGCATTTTTGACTGAATTTCAAACCTTAGATTATGATTTCAAGTCCTAAATTTGACTAAATCTGGTTCTAAACTAGTTTCTGACTAGTTTTCATCTAGTTTTTTTTTTATCATTTTGATTTTGAGACGTATAAAAGTTTTCTAGACTTTGCTTTTTTCGCGCCAAATTGATCCCAAACTGATTAACGAATTATAGCAAAATTTACATTAAATTATAATTAAATCCAAATATTTGTATCAACTATTTGCTACTTTATACACATTTTGAACGGTGACACAAAGTTTTTAAATAAAAAAGAGAGGTTCGACTGTATTTTCAAAAAAAGAGCAAACAGGGAAAATTTCTGCGTGGAATTCAATAAATTAAAAAATATTTTCAAAATGCTTGAATGCTTGCTTAGATTTCTAAAAACTGACTCTTGAGCTCAAGAAAAAAAACACGACTTCGATACGAATTTGATTTAAAAACCATAAAAAAATTTTTTTTCGTTCGAATAAAAAGATGTTTTCTAGAAAAGTGGATTCTACACTGATACTATTAATTCAAAAAATATTTTTTAAGAGAATTCCGTATATAATTATAAATATTCATATTAAATTTTTTTTTTATTAATACGGAAATTTATAATGAATTTGGAAAAAATATATATAATATAAAATATACTGTGCTCCAAAATCTTGACTATTTATTCATGCGCAATGATGTCATAAAATGGTTAACACGTGGTAAAGTAGTAAAAGTTTCCGTCATCCGAGAACTAGACTTGAGAAAAAAATTAAAGTAAATTCTTTCAACAAGAAAAAAATTTCTCGAAATAGAAAACATGTCAATGTCTGACTGAAAGATTTTTTCTTTTTAATGGTTATATCTAATTTCAAAAACACAAAATTCTTGAAAATCGCTCTTGAAATCGTAAATTAGGAAAAAAATATAATGTAACATTTCTCAAGTGTTGTTTAGTCAATAGTATTATATTTAAATTACGTATTTGGAAAATATATATTTTACATATTCGAAAAATTTCCGAACTATTCAAATGATCGAAATATTTTCAAATATTTTTTAATTGCGGTTTAAAAATAGAAAAAATGTAAATAAAAAGGTAAATTTCAAAAATAATTTTGAAACTTTCGAAAATAATTTTTAAAGCGTCGTGCAAAAGTTTATTTCATTATTAATCGATTACTAGAATATTATCAATTAAATATTGAGTCAAATAATTTTTATTTGAAGTTTATTTTGAAAAGTAATTTGAAGTTGAGTATACAGCGTTTGGCTGTTAAAATTTGATTTCATTTTTAGTTATACTCAAAAAAAAAATTTTTAAACTTGTTGAGAATTTATTTCCACCACAGTCGAACCTGTCGAAATGAAACTCTATTAAAAAAGTTTTTTTCTAATTCAAAAATGTCCGCAAGAAGAATTATTTTCCAGTTTCAGAATATTGTAAAAATATTACAAATTATAAAACAATTTTTTAAAGGATTTGTTTACTCGAATAAAATTTTAAAAATCGAGTTGCATTCCGACAAGTTTCACTGTAGGGCTTTCTAGAAAATTTTTCCATTTTCCCCGAAAAAATAAAAAATCCTCTTCGAAATGAGTCAAACCTTGACAAAGGCGATAAATTATCCAACTCTTGATTTTAAAATTAAGTAATTTATTATTAATGTTTTTTTAAATAATTCGATAAATTAAAAGACAGTAACGAATATATTAGATACATATATTTCAACGCAAGAAAATGTAAATACGTTCCATAACGTTTCATTTATTACCATTGAGAATAGTAAAGGAAAAGTCATAAAAAAATCACATAAAGAAAAATAAGCATCTATATAATTTTACGAGATTCTGACATAAATATAGAAAACGTATGAATTTTTTTTTCCTTTTTTTTTGGTTCGAGAAGAGAAGTGATTTCGTGTTTCCTTAAAAAGTATAAAAATTTCTTAAGAGCTCTTCTGCCAACATATATAGCTACTTGGTCTTTAATTGTTTTTCTCCATATAGTATAATAAGAAGACTTTTGTGTTAGAGCTAGACGGGCCATAAAACGAGGATTTCTTCTTTTCGTCTTATTCTAAAAGTTTGAAAGCAAGAGAGAAAGAGAGAAAATGCGCTCTCGTGAGAGAGAGAGAAAGAGAGAGAGATCCATACGAGTTATAAAACCGAGTCACGCTTTATATGCGTTCCTCGGATTCTCTTGACTTCGTAGAAAAGGTTTATGGCCGTGGCGATCAAAACTATATACGCAATATTCGATTCATTTAATTAATCCGCAAAAGAATCAAAATTCAAGAAAGTCAATGCCTCAATTTTACGATTTTTGTACACAACACGCTATTCATATGTACATGTTTCTCATCTGCAAGTATATGACACACTTTTTTTGTTCTTTAAACAGTTTCTTTAAAAATCTTTTTCTCTTTTCATTTTTTTTTTTTTTTTATTTTTTGGGGAAAAATATTTAGTTTTAACTGTTAAAATTTTTGTTGAATCCACCAAATTCACTGCTTATAAAGTTCTTTAGTTTGTTTAACTTTTGAATTTTTTCTTTAACCTTTCCAACCAAAGTTTTCAATTGAATATTTTTATTTATTTTTTTTATGTATTATAAATAAAAAAAAAAGAAAGTTAAATAAATTTGTCTCAGAGTCAAGTAGATTATTTATTTGTTTTAAATCAAAAATTTATTCGACAAAAATAAAACGTTCATTTGAAGAAAATAACATTTGCCAAATATTTGGTTTAAATAAAATTAATGAAATTAATGAAATTAATGAAATTAATAAAATTTATGTAAAACAAAAAAAAAGTCTGGTTCTGTCTGGTAATGAAATGTATTTGTATAAATAGAATGAAAAAACTATAATGAAATGAATCTGGAATTTTTATTCGAAACAACAAAATTGTCTCATTATAATCAAGAAAATAGATTAAATCGAGAAATTTTTTTTCAAGTTTTAATTAACCTTTTTCTGAGAGGAGCAAAAATTTCTTCCAAAATAACTCGATATTTTCTTCCATTCAAGAAAAGAGAAACAAGTCTCAGAAGAGACGAATATATCCCTTAACTCGAGTTTCTCACGAAAAATGACAACATCTGGAAAACATGTGAGAATATTGAAAAAAAATTACTTTACAACTATTCTCACTCGATGATTTTCAAAATGCTATGGTTTACAATAATTAGTAATTAGTAATTATTAATTATTAATTAACATTCTTGGGAAGAATTCAATTATTTTTTTTTAAATAGTAAAATCTTTGCAAAAATTAAATTATTTTCAATAGAATTTTAAGAAAGAATTCAATTATTTTCTAAAATTTTAATAAATCCTTCCAAATAATTCAATTATTTTTTTTAATAGTAAAATTCAATTATTTTTAATAAAATTTTACGAAAGAATTCAATTATTTTCTGAAATTTTAATAAATGCTTCCAAACAATTCAATTATTTTTAAATAGTAAAATATTTGCAAAAATTAAATTATTTTCAATAAAATTTTACGAAAGAATTTAATTATTTTCTGAAATTTTAATAAATGCTTCCAAACAGTTCA